AGAAGACTCTTGAGAGTCCCTTGGACTGCAAGGAGATCCAACCAGTGCATCCTAAAGGAGATCAGTCCTGGGTGTTCATTGGAAGGACTGATGCTGAAGCTGAAACTCCAGTACTTTGGCCACCTCATGCGAAGAGTTGACTCATTGGAAAAGACCCTGATGCTGGGAGGGATTGGGGGCAGGAGGAGAGGGGACAACAGAGGATGAGATGGCTGGATGGCATCACCAACTCAATGGACATGTGTTTGAGTAAACTCCGGGAGCTGGTGATGGACAGGGAGGGCTTTCTGCAGTCTGTGGGGTCGCAAAGAGTCGGACACGACTGAGTGACTGAACTGAACTGAACCTGGTATAATAAATACTCCCAAAGTATTGATGAATTAAAGAATAAACAGAAAAGATGATTTCTGTTATTTCAGAATTAACACTTTAGTGAGAGGAGACAAAAACACAGATAGCTGAAGAAGAGGACAGAACATAGGGAATCCTTTAATAGAGACACAAACTAGTATGGAAGTAATAAATAATCATAGTTACTTGGTGGCTCAGATGGTCAAGAATTCACCTGCTGTGTGGAGACCCGGGTTCATCCATGGATGGGGAAGATCCCCTGGAGAAGGGAATGGTAACCCATTGCAGTATTCTTGTGTTTCCCTGGTGTTTCAGATGATAAGGAATCTGCCTGCAATTTAGGAGACCTGGGTTCAATCCCTGGGTGGGGAAGATCCCCTGGAGAAGGAAATGGAAACCCACTCTAGTATTCTTGCCTGGGAAATCCCATGGATAGAGGAACGTGGTGGGATACAGTCCATGGGGTTGCAAAGAGTTGGACATGTCTGAGTGACTGAGTACACAGGAGCCTTATAATGAATGAGCTACTTGTTGCTCTGTTAATAAATCAATATCAGCAGAAACTTTGTGAATAGATATATGGGGTTATTATTTGCTGTTTCCATGAGATTCAGCAAGAAGTGGCTTCTTTAATAATAAAATCATGACTTATCTCAAACACCATGCTCCGGCCGCCTTGCTATCCTTGGTGTGTTTATCACACTTCGACACTAGGAACCAACGTTCCTGTGTCCATCTGTGGCCAGCTCCCACCAGGCTGCCCACCCCCCTGGGAGGAAGGGAGTCTGCTCTGATGGGGAGACTGGACTGCCTTGACTTGGAAGCCCAGGTCCCAGGAGCCCTCTAACTCTAGACTGAATCTAAAATAGCCACATCGACAAATGCTCAAGCTGGGTGGATTTTGAGTAGCTTAGGAGGCCCCCATCTGTTGATGAACTCCTATCAAGGCCATGTTCACAAGTTGGATGGGCCATATGAGGTCACTTCTGCTTCCATCACATTAAGGAGAGGGCTAGGTTCCTCGCCAGGGGCTGGACCCCCACTTACCCGAGAACCCGCGCGGGCAGACGCAGGTGTACCGTCCGATCTCGTTGAGGCACGTGGCCACGTTCCTGCAGGGCTCTGACACGCACTCGTCCACTTCCACGTCGCAGCGCCGGCCCTGATAGCCCGGGACACAGAAGCAGGAGTAGCCGTCGCCTCCGTCCCGGCACACAGCGCCGTGCAGGCAGGGGCTGGACGCGCACTCGTCGAGGTCCAGCTCGCAGAACCTTCCCGTGTAGCCAGCGGGGCAGACGCACACGGCGGGCCCGGGGTCCTGGTGGCAGACGCCCCCGTGCAGGCAGGAGCGGGGCCCGCAGGGGCCAGCGCTGGTGTCGCAGCCGGCCCCGCTGTGCCCGGGAGGACATCTGCACAGAGGGCGCCTCTCCCCCGGGACGCGAACACACGTGGCGAGTCCTGGACAGGGGCTGGAGAGGCAGGGGTCCTCCTCCTCCCCGCAGTCTTTGTCCCCGTGAACGGCTGTGTCTGAACAGCGGCAGCTCTTGTCTTCTGAGAAATCCTTGCACGTAGATTTGCTTTGGCAAGAATCGGACAGGCACTTGGTGTCGTTTTTACTGCAAAAGGAACCTACAAGGAAAACATCAGATGAAGCATGCAAACAAATGGTGGATGATAAAATTAAAGAAAGTCCTTATTTCCTCTCTTCAGGCACCTCACAGGAACTCATTAATGGAATGCAAAGTTGACTGCAGTCTAGCGATGAATTTGTCAAATGATGTCTAATAATGAGTTCTGTCATAATGATGATTAGTCATCTTTTTTTTTCATGTAGCTGCTAACAAGAAACAAAAATGCCTGGCTGCAGATTCTTTGCTTCTCTTGCATTTCCCTTTCTCAGGTAGAAGTGCTGTTGAGGGACAGGGTGAATTGTTAAATTGTCTCATAAACCCTAAAATTTGAAATCCACATTCTCTCATGGAGGATTTGGGGGTGTCCTGGGAGATGAGATACAAAATTGTCTCTGAATATACTAACTGAAACTAACATTTGAATGCAATACTTTGGCTTATGACTGCTTTATTACAATCATCATGTGTGGTCTAATAAAAAAGCAAAGAAGAATGAAAATATAAAACTAAAACAAAACACCAACTATTTGTTGCAGGTTTACTTTGTGTACTAAGCATGTCAGCTGTTTCACATATATTATTTATAATTGTCACAGCAACAAATATTGTGTGCATCTTACAGATGATAGGTTAAGTCCCACCAGAAGGAAGCAGATGTAAAGTGTATGGACTTCCAAATTTCTGAAAGCTTCTCTGTTCTAGGGGAACATTTTTGAAATTCTAATTGGAATGATGACCAGCAAGAAAGCAATACTTCTGTGATTCTTTTCCAAATTCACTGGATACCTGTAAATGTATAATTTTTCCCTGAATCTGCACACATTATGATCACAACACTGTTATATTCTTAATCATGTATACTGAGAAGCTTTTTGATTTGGCAACTCAACTGCATCAGATCACAAAACACTGTCTTCTGTGTATGGATTTATCTAGTACACCCTTCTCTTATTTTCACTTCCTGTCTCACAATATTCCTCACTAATATAACAGTGGGTAATGGTCTAGGCTTATAATTTTAAAAATTATGAAATGAATAGTCTGCTCTTAGGAGACATAAATCAACTACAGTCAGAAGAAAGTAGCATGAAAACTTTGAGAAGTATGTAAAAGCGGTACATCTCTTCCTGCAGAAAAAGAATTGGTTCTCTTTAATGTGGTCTGGTCACCAAGAGTGTGAAGGGAAGATGGAAAGATGATGGTTGACTGGTTCATCACACAAGAGAGGGTTTTCACAGTTGTCTTCGTTGGAGTCTTTCTGGCAGCTGAAAGATCCCCTCCAGCGCCTGTGCAGAGGTTACCCTGTGCTTATGTGTTATCAGGAGGGGTGATCTGAAAGCAGACCTTTTCCAGTCCCTATGGAAAAACTCAACTCATCATCCTTCTTCTATAGTTTTTTCAAGTACTGGCTTTCCAATCACATCTTCAAATGTATGACTGGCTTCTAGCTGTTCATATCTTAGCTACAATGTCACTTTCTGAGAAAAGCTTTCTCTGAACCCCCTTTCAAACTTTATAATGGTTTACTTTCTCATATACATCTGAAGTGTTCTTATTTTTTTGTGCATATGTTTGTTTTCTGTTTTCCTCGTTGCAATTCTAGTCTGCTAAGGAAAGGGGAAGACCTGTCTCTGGTATTTTCTGGGTTTGTAACATTACCTGTCACATAGTATCTGCTCAGTGCATACCTACTGGATCGGAGTGGAGAAATGTCCCAACACAACATGGAGGAAGGGTGCTGTGTGATCACAGGGTCCAGGGCAAGTCTACCAGGAAAGCCTCACTGGAGAAAAGGTACTTGAGATGTCTTTTAATTTATTATTAGTGGATGGCAGTTGGTTGACAATGTTGTGTTGGCTTTTGCTGTGCAGTACTGTGACTCAACCACGGTGGTGGTGGTGGCGTGGTCACCAAGTCGTGTCCGACTCCCGAGACCCCAGGGGCTGTAGCCCGCCAGGCTCCTCTGTCCATGGGATTCTCCAGGCGGGAGCACTGGAGTGGGGTGCTATATAAGTATACATATATCTGAGATGTCTTTTTAAGTGAATGCAAGTGAAGGAATGGCATTATTTTCAGAAGAAAAAAGAAAAAGCATGAGAGGTATTGGCATTGCTCTGCCAATCGTATGAAAAGCATGAAAGTATGAGAAGGCAGAGGTCTGAGAGGAAGGCAGGGGATAGGGAGGAAAATGGAGAGATATTCAGCAGTTCAAACGTTTGCACTACTTAGAGTTCCTGTGTCCAAACAAAAAAGAGAAATAAATATTGCAACTCTGCTCTCTGAACTCTCACCGTCAAAGGCATGTGATGAAATTATGTATTCAGTCTTGTTTTGTTTTGTTGCATTTTGTTAGTGGCAATGATAATGGTTTTCCCCTTCCTTCAGAAATCAAGTATCTTGGAATAATAGTGGAAAGTAAGAGAAGAAAAAGTGAAAGCGAACTGTAGTATAGTTCTTAAAAGATACTTTGAAGTGGTATAGTATTATTTACAGGCATATCGTGATAAGTTAAAGATGTATATTGTAAACTCTAGAGCAAGAGTTAGCAAACTGTAGCCTGTGAGCCAAATCTGACCTGCCATCTGTCTTATAAATAAAGTTTAATTAGAACACAAAAAAATCAAGTATCTTGGGACTTCCCTGGTGGTCCAGCGGTTAAAACAGCCTTCTGATGCAGAGGGCCTGGGTTCAATCCCTGGTCAGGGAGCTGAGATCCCACATGCCTCACAACCAAAAAACAAACAAACGAAAAGAAAAAGCAGAAGCAATATTGTAACAAATAAAGACTTTAAAAATGGTCCACATCAAAAAAATAAAAATAAAAATGAAGTATTTTCCTTTAAGCCATGAATTGAAGCATTTGTATAGAAAAACACATAGCAAAGTAAATTAGCATTTATCTCTTAGGTCCTTACAGTGCAATTTTAAAAGTAAACTTCTAACAGCATTTGTGTAAAGCATTTTACAGATGGAAAACTGAGTTTTATAGGGAATGAGCTATTTCTATGTGGTCATAGAGAAGGGGGATTTGAACCTCTGGTTTGTCTGATTCCAAAGTTCATTTCTTTTTCCTGCATTACTTTAGAAGTTAGGATACTTCTGGGTAGAGTTTCCTACTTAACCATGGTGATATCCACCTAAGTGTTTACTTTTGCTGCCTTCTAAACCCCATGAAAAGCCTAGTGAAGGTGTTTGTTGCTCAGCCGTGTCTGATTCTTTGCAACCCCATGGACCCTGCCAGGCTCCTCTGTCCATGGGATTCTCCAGGCAAGAATACTGGAGTGGTTGCCATGCCCTTCTCCAGGGGATCTTCTCGACCCAGGGATCAAACCCAGGTCTCCTGCCTGCATGCAGATTCTTCACCATCTGGGCCATCAGGAAAGCCTGTATGGCTTAAAACAGTATGGCGACTCACTGGAGAAGGAAACAGCAACCCACTCCAGTGTTCTTGCCTGAAGATTCCATGGACAGAGGAGCCTGGCAGGGTCCACGGGGTTGCAAAAGTTGGACACGACCCAGTGCGTGCATAGCAACTCGCCCACTCAAACGACTAAATGACAAAGGTTGACGATACCAAGCGCTGATGGGAATCTGGAGAAAACGAAACTCTCCTTCACGCCCTCTTTATTATAACTGATCTTTCCTGTCTATGTGTTAATAATTGTATTCATCTTTCAAATAATTGATATTGTAGAGTTTGCCTATACTATCTTGGTTTCTTGGTTTTCTGTCCTATAGATTTCTGTTTTTACCTTTTTTTTTTCCCCTTAATTTTACTTTCTTTTTAACTTGCTATCTACTTTTTTGGATTTCTTCTTATTAATAATTTTTTTTTTCTTTAAAAACACAGCTTTGCCGTGTTTCTCACAATTTCTTTTTATGATATGAAAAATGTTTTCTAATTTCCATTGTGAGTTATTCTTTGCCATATGAAAAATCTGTAAGAATTAATTAGATCAAGTTTGCTAACTGTGTTATTTAGATCTTCTATAGCATCATTGGAAGGACTGATGCTGAAGCTGAAACTCCAATACTTTGGCCGCCTCATGCAAAGAGTTGACTCATTGGAAAAGACCCTGATGCTGGGAGGGATTGGGGGCAGGAGGAGAAGGGGACGACAGAGGATGAGATGACTGGATGGCATCACCAACTTGACACGAGTTTGAGTAGACTCCGGGAGTTGGTGATGGACAGGGAGGCCTGGCGTGCTGCGATTCATGGGGTCGCAAAGATTTGGACACAACTGAGTGACTGAACTGAACTGAGCTGATAGCATCATTCATTGTTTTCTACTTTTTCTCTCTGCTGAGATTGATGCCTTAAAGCCTCCCACAGTGATTATATACTGGGCTTCCCTGGTGGCTCAGCTGGTAATCCGCCTGCAATGCAGGAGCCCTGTGTTCAATCCCTGGGTTGGGAAGATCCTCTGGAGAAGGGAAAGGTTACCCACTCCAGTATTCTGGCCTGGAGAATTCCATGGACTGTATAGTCCATGGGGTCACAAGGAGTCAGATACAACTGAGTGACTTTCACTTTCTTTCCATTTTCACAATGATTATAAATTTTCATTATTTCTTCTTTTAGTTCTGACAATTTTCACTTTTATATTCTGAAGCAAAGTTCTTATGTTCATTGAAATTCAGAATAGTTACATCACGCTGTTGGTTTGATTCCAATATATTTTCAAAAACTCCTCTTCTGTCTTCAGTAAGGCATCGTACCTTAAAAGACTACTATTGCCATTATCAATATTGCTATATCAGTTACTTATCACATACATTGCTGGTGGAAATTCAAAATAGTGTAGGAACTTTGAAAAGCATTTTTGAAGTGTCTTATAAATTTAAACATACATTTACCATATGACCCAGCAATCCCACACCTAGAATTTCCCCCAAGAGAAATGAAATCATAATGCCCATACAAAAAATTGCTTGAAAAAGAAAACAACTTTATTCATAATGACAAACACTGGAAAGACCTAAATGTTCATTAACT